TTGTCGTAGTTGGTGTTAACAAATATTCAGCAACCGTGGATGAGTTAGGGGCATTATATTTGCCCATAAATATTGAATTTGCTGCACAAAAAGGTTTTGTTTCTGAGGATGTTAGTCAATTTAGTGTCAATGAATCTGGTTACATAACGCCACCTTTCAAAAGGAGCAACAAGCAGCAGCTACGAAATATAAATAGTAATGCCCCAAATGATCAAAGTTTTATGGAGGGAAAATATAGTATAAGTGACTTTGAAAAGGTATGTTTGTTTTCAAATTAAATTTGTTAAAATATTGTGAATATTTTAGCAATTAAATATTTTACTTTTGAATTTGTTAAGCTGAGAAGGGAATATGAGTCTTTCAAAAAGTTTGTGATGGAGTCATTTGAGAAAGTGTTTAATGGTAATATACCCGCACATGATTACGATCAAAGGTCCGATGAGAATGTTGAGAATGATTTTGAAAAGGTAAGAATTCTTTATATTTGTTATTTTGTGAATCCTCATTCTTCTTTTCTTATTAAAATATATTTTTATTATTTTGTGCTAATGTTGTTCAGCTTAGCAAGGATTATTGTTTATTCAAGGAGTATGTGATGGATACTTTTGCTAAATTGTTTGATGAAAACAACAATCTTCATGACAGATTCACTGAGAAGAGTGATGCAAAGGTATTCTAATCTAAAAAAGAACACTTCTATTTTAAAATTTAAAATGTTAACCATCATATTATTATGTATATTTTTAATGAAATCATTATATTCACTAAATGAGTAACAGAGTGATGGAAAGGCTTATGAGCAAGGTAATGCTGACATCGGTTCTCCTAATAACAATCATGAGCAAGGTACTAATGAAGTTATTCATGTGCATAAGACTACCCAAATGAATATAATAAGCCAAGTCAACCAGGGAGATACCATCGTTCTTCATGGTATATTTGGAGTCATGTTTTATTTTCTTACTTATTATACATATTTATACAATCAACAAGTAAACTTATTTTAATATTTTTTATGATTTTTTTAAGTAGACCGGTTGGAGAGTGTTGTCGAATGTCAGAAAGAATTGCCTACGTTTGATGGTGGTGATTATCTGATTCCAAGCGAGTCTCAGATTGCAATACTTGAACAAACTGCTGTTGAAAAAGCTGTTGATGTGGCAAATGACCCAATGCCAAAACAATCCACAAGAATAAGACGTATTGGAAAATATGAGAAGTCTCCATATATGCCACTTGATTCAGGAGATTGCAGTTCTGCGGCAGTAGTGCATAGGCAATACTTTAACGTTAAGCATCCTTTTACTGTTGACATCGGAATTGAACCTGATCTTGCTTTGCGTTGGGCTTTTGAGCAATTTGTTGATGCGGGGACGTATAAGAAACCCAGGTAAGCTAATTTTTAATATCTTGCATAAATTATTTTTTTTAATTTAATTTTTCTTTGATATTTATGTTTTTCTATATCATTTTTTAAGAGTGGGTGCGATCTACAAAAAGGGAAAGGATTTGATTGAGCCTTATGTCTTTGGAGATCATCATATTGTCAAGAAAGAATGAATTGTCTTTCATTTCAAGGCATAACTTGTATCCATGCGCTTCATATTCGCCCGGAGTTCGCTCCCAGAAATATAGCCATCCCTGCCCCCTCACGTCAATCCCACGAGCCTCTTATCCATTCTCATTGAACGACGGCGGGGGAGCAAATCCAACTAGAAAAACTCACATTGGGCTTATAGTGGTCGACCTTTGGATGACACGGTATGTTTTTGTACTCCTTTTACATTAGATTATATCAGTGTATGTGTGTGTGTGTGTGTGTGTATATATATATATATATATATATATATATATATATATATATATATATATATATATGAACTTAAATCCCAATATATGTTCTGTATACATGTTCATCTTAATCCAATATGTGTAATGTCATGTATATCATAAACTCGCATGTATATCAGTATGTTCTAGTGATCTCTCACTTAACTGCCTCACTACTGTGGATTATTGGAATGCATACACTTTGGATTAGTAATGTAAGATTAATGCTTCAGGTCAATATCAAGCTTACCAAGTTCATTTTTTTTTATTTCTTTGAAGAAGTTGAGAGCTCAGATGAACTAAATTGATAACATATCTGCTTAAAATAGGTATTGCACATTATGATAGGCTGAATTTGTGTGTAAATGGAGAATGTTTGGTGCCTTCTTATGCCAAAGTAATCTCTCCATAGTCATTCGTTCGTGGAGTTGTATGTGCTATGTTTAGTGAGAGTAATTAATTGTTGACTGTCATTTATAACCATTTATAACAATGAAAGTAATTGTATATCTGCCTAGCGTAATTGTATATTAAATCCCTCAACATTATGGATATGTTGTATATCTACATGTATAACTAACCCAAAAATTATTAACTTCATTTATATCTTCTAGTATATATATTTTTCATGTTCGTACATGTAAACTTCTTCAAATTATATCCTGATATGTATATCTTAGAGTTAAAAATTTAGCTATATATTTATATTAACTTATTTCATGTATATCAAGACATTACTTGTATACCATACAATGTTTAAATTGAAACACATCAGTTTTTGCTTAAATACTTAGTTTTATTTTATTAAATCTTTAACTGTTATATTTATTGACTGAAATCTGTTTTTATTTTGCCAGCATATTGATGTCATCTTCTACTATCTTCGGGAAAAAATAAAGTATGATGTTTACATTCCAAAGTCCTTCACCATGACAAATTTTTCATTTTGTGTTAAGGTAAAATCATTGTATGATCAGTTTCCGTTAAGCAATAGGGACTATAGTGTCATTCCTAAGGATCATGAAATAGCTGAATATATGCGAGGCTCTCACATGCCGTGTAATGTTCTGTGGCACACTGTCGATCATGTACTAATTCCTATAGGCTTAAAAGACGAATGGCATTGGATTTTAGGTGTGTTGACTTTTAAGGACAGGTGCATACACGTGTATGATTCCATCAGAGGAGCGCAACATGATGCTAAAATTCGTGAGGCCGTTCAACCATATGCAGTGTTGATTGCTCGTTTCTTGGCTAGTACAGGTTTTTACAGGAAAAGACATGATATTTATTTGACCAATGTACCATACAGCGACAGACCACTTGCTGATCCATTAGATATTCACTTGGTTGATGATCTGCCACAACAAGAACACGCGTATGTTAACTTTTGGCATATTTTATTTATTTAAATAATTATATTTTATTTAAGGGCGTTGATTCCTTCTAACTTATCTTCACTTTGTTTTAGTGATTGTGGTGTATATGTGGCATCTTTTGCAGAGTATTTTATCCATCAAAGATCAATTCCAGCTGTGTTTGATGCAGAGCAACATCGAAAACGACTTGGTACATTGTTGTGGGATTATGGTAGATCTAAACAAGAGAATGAAGATGAAAGTGAGCCAGAGTTTTCTAACAGAAGTTTCAGAACAAATGCTACTGTAAAAATGAAGAACAATTAGTCTTACTCTTTAGTTTAGTTATCTATTATTTTGGGATATGTTAATACATTTGTCTTTTATTCGTGGCTCATTATGGCACAATATTTGTAATATATTATTTATATTATACAGGTTAAACAAATCTTTTTCCTTTTTTCCCTCAAATTAAGAAATTTCTAGTATGTTGCATGGTTATGTTTATGGAATTTTTTGGAAGTTTGTTTACTGTTTATTTTAATTTTTTATAAATATTACATGTGTATGTCTAATTTTTTTTAGCATGCTCATGTCAAACATAAATAAATATTGCAGTTCCTTCCCCCTAGCTAATACATTTACTATATTTCTTTAATACATAGTATAATTTAATATTGAATTATTTTGTGTCATGCTACAAATAACATTTATATCGTGAACTAGGTAATGAATATCCATAAACAAACACCACCATTATTGTGTATCTCTACCCATATGTATATTAATACATAATTGTACTAGTACATATATATATATATATATATATATATATATATATATATATATATATATATATATATATATATATATATATATATATATATAGTTTTGTATATCTGTGAAGTAACACACTAGCGTTGTCTATATCTCTATCCACATGTATATCAACACTTAATTGTACAACTAGATGTAAATATTTAATTAGGCTAACTTGTAAATACTGATATTTATATTTGTGAAGTAACTACACCAGTGGTGTGTATATCCATCCCCATGTATATCAATAATTTATTGTCAAATACATGTATACATTTGTTTTGGCTAATATGAATATCCTGTTCTGTATATCGTTCAACTAACAACACTACTATTCTGTATATCTATCCCTTGTATATCAATACTTAGTTTTATAAATACATATATACATTTAATAGAGATAACATGTATATCCTACAATGTATAACCGTGAACCTACTACTCTAGTTTTGTGTATATCTCCGATCCCATGTATATCAATACCTAGTTGCAAAACTACATGTTAACATTTATTTGATCTAACGTGTATATCCTGGTTGTATATCCTTCAACTAACAACACCATTATTTTGTATGCCTCTATCCTCATGTATATCAATACTTAATCGTTCAAATAGATGTATACATTATATTTTATATTTGTATGTGTACCAAGCACAGAGATGTATATCCAAACTTGTATATCCTTATGTACTGTTATATCTTTCCATGTCAATAAAATGCATTGTTCAGTATGACAACATAGTAATTCAACTTCATATAAAATGAATAAATTGTAAAGATCATGTGCCATAATAGTGTTTACATGTCAATGCAATAATATACATGATGATATACATGTCCTACACAACTTAATGTATTGACTTTGTCTAACTAATTCTTATGCTACATTGGCATATACATACGAAAATGCTAAATTAAAACTTGCATACACAAGTGCAAAACTTAAATAACTTCTGAACATGAATAATAGTTCAATCATTTGTGGCCCTATTCAGTGGTGATAAGGTATATTTCTACATGTTCTCCTATTGTGGCCCTCACGTCCACATTGTCCGCATGAACTCTTTGGCCTCTTAGCTTTTGATTCTGAAACCTTCTTGTATCTCACCTTCTTCGGTCTTCCAGGCATCTTATTCCAGACTGGTGGCACCACACGTTGTTCTAATACCTCTACTGGAATTGTCCATGTGCTTTCATCTGGAAGAGGATAAATTGGAATGTCGTATGCTTTCAACATGTATTCATTGCTGTAGTACATAGAGAAGTAATCTTCACCCTCTAGACTTTTTGACCTCAAAACCGCCCACGCATGCGGACAAGGGATTTGATCGAGCTGGAACCTTCTACAACTACATGTCCTTTCCCTAAGGCAAACGATGAACAACCTCCCATTATCAATAACTGAATGTAAGTTTTCAGTCGATGGTCTCACCTATATTTGGATGAAAAGCAAGATTAGTCTACACTTTATGTAAAAAATCCAAAAGACTAACCTTATTGAGTTATTCTGTAGAAAAAGATGAAGTTGAAAATAAATAATATGTTAGATAATATAAACTTACCATCATATGTTGTGATGCATTAAGATTTTCATCCAGTATATCATTGTATTTAAAGGTAAGCTTTGTAAATGTCGCTTGTGCAGTGTTTCGATTTGTGTAGTTTCACCTGTTGATCAACATTCGAATTTCTTCCAGTAATTGATGTATCGGAAGTTCCCTCGCTGCCTTAATTGCTGAATTTAATGATTCAGCAATGTTGGAAGTCATTGTCATTGTTCTGTTGACTTTTGCATGTGCTCTGCTCCACCTGTGATATCCAATATCAAATAAGTAATCCTTCACTCTTCCATCTATTTGTTCCATCTCTGTCATATGGTGATTAAACTCTTCAGTAGTATATGCTCTTGCAGTAGCAAAAAATATCTCTCTGAGCTCTTCTTGACTCCTCTTATATCTGTCTTTTATGTTATTCCACAGATGCCATATACAAACACAATGAGAAACTTTAGGATACACTATTGAAGCTGACTTAGCTATGCTCTCATTTCTATCCGATACAATGCACATGTCATCTCTATCATCGAACGCTTCTTTGAACCTTTCAAAGAACCACCCCCATGAGGCATCATTCTCCTTATCAACAATTGCATATGCAAGGGGAAAAACTTGCCTGTTAACAATATATCAATTATATTCCTTCAATATATATATATATATATATATATATATATTCGATTTAATAAATACCTATGGATGGTTAATTGATATGCATAGATTAAAAATGACTATATACGTATATATGGCTATACGCAGAACTTTTATACATATAAGTATACTGTGATATACAATTAGATATTTGGATATACATGAATATGTTTCTAATGTTTAGAATAAATGAAATAGTAGAGTATTTTTAGAACAAACCTCCAGCATCTTGCGAGCAAGCTGTGAGTAACATTCCTCTGTACGTTGCTATAAGGAAGCTTCCATCAACCACAACAATAGGTTTGCAACAAATTGCCATCCCTTTATTGATGCATATAAGGCGACAAAGGCATACATGAAGTGTCTTTCATCTGTTTTTCTCAAACTCACAACTGACCCGGGGTTGGAATGCATCAACATATATAAGTAGCTTGGCAGCTTTGCATACGACTCACTTGGGTCTCCTCTTAAAAACTTAAGGGCCTTTTGCTTTGATCTATTTGCTTTCCAGTAGCTTAAGTCAATACCGTACTGTTTTTTCATGTCTTTCATTATGTCCTTTGCAGTGTATATTGTTTTAGGATCAACATATTTATCACAAATAATTCTTCCAATAACAGGAGCAGTAGCTACACGTTGTGTATACAACCTATCCCTCGCCGTACATGTGTGATCCTTACTGAATTTTCTAACCCTAAAGATTTTTGACTTGTTTAGCGATGAAGACTTGAACAACCACGTGCAACGGTCATTGACACATACCAGGCAGTATCTAATAACATCCAAATTTTCACAATAGTAAATAATTAAGACAAAATATTGTGTGTTGTGAAAATAAAAAACTGACGATTGTATATAATTATTAAAGTTAGATATACATTCATACCTTTATGGACTTGATCGATTAACCTTAAACTGAAATTTTTTCTGAATAGCATAATTTATTAACACCATCATCAGTGTCTCCTTGTCCTTGTAAAGTTGGCCTTCCGAAACAGTATTATTTAGAGGATCATCTATTATTGGAGTTTCATCAAAATCTACAACTTCAGGATCACTTACGTTATCAAACGCAATCAACTGTAGTGTATCCCTGCTATGTATATCATATGTATTTGCAATTTGTAGGCATACAGATGTATTTTCCTCGTTTCGATTAAACGCGTGCATATCTTTCTCTTTCACTGATATACACAGCGGATACTCATTAAACGCATAATTTTTCTTCTTCAACTCAATATATACACGCAATCCCATATCATTATGTATCATCATTGGTGGTGAATCTTCATCGCATTTATACTGGATTTCAAGCAAATTAATTGTGGTGTCAACCATCAATTGTTTTGAAATTGTAGAAACAAAATCAATAAATTTAGTTTCGGTACTAATCACCACGCCTTCAACTGAGTAATCCACAAATCGATTGTTGCTATCCCACTGCCCCCCGTGCTGTATCAAAATCGGCAAAGTAGCTATTGAATCTGTATTCTATATACAGAGATTGAAACCCTTCTTCAGCCGATTCAAAAATAAATAAAATTGTTGCCAAAAAAAGAACTAATTATTGCATCAGAACACAGAAATTTGATATTCAATTTCCGTGCAGGCTGAAAATTCTTCGAACCCTTTTTGATTTTAGAAGGAAATAAATTTTATGCATTTGGTTTTATTTTGGTCGACTAGGTAGTTACGTTTCTGAAGGGATACATCATGCAAGCGTGATTGGGGGATAAAACCCCCTATTTTTGAGGGGTTGTATAATCGTGTCTTTTGGAATTTGGCTATTTTATGCCAATATTTTTGGGCTACTTGTGCCAACTTAAATTTATGGCCAATAAAATGCCAATTATACTGAAGGGTTGTTATACGGTGTCAATTCCTCTAACTTCATCGCCTAAAAATGAGAAGGGAAAAAGGAACTGGACTCTCGATATTGGACCATTGGAACAAGCCCAGCAAATCTACAAGCAGCAGACTCCATAAAGCAGGAAAGGCATCCTAGACTGGAACTTGGGCCTAAGTTCCAAAGGACTCGACAGGCCTAGTTCAAACATGCACACAAAAGAAATAAAAGATAATTAATATATGAGGCACAACAAAATAAATCTCAACAAGTAAACAAAATTAAAAAATACAGTGTAATCAATTTCATTTGTTTGAATCCTAGGAGGATTAATTAGAGTCAATGACTAAGGGCTTAGAGTAAAGCCTTATTCATGGACAAGATACCATTTAGATCCCTGGCACTTCAGGTTTCACAAGGGTCTCATAGACCCTGAGCAGTGCTTGTGTCTGGAAAGGGAATCTTTACCACAAACTAGGTTTCCCCCCAATTACTCCTAATCACTTACACTTACTCTCCCTGTGGTGTTCACTTAGTAATTAACATGAGAGTTGCAGCTGACAAAAAGGTGCAGATACACATAGTTCGGACAGAAGCTATAAAGAACACTATCCTTAGTGTCCAAGAATATGAGTAGTTCAGAATTTCTGAACCAAAAACATGAAGGGAGACTATTTGCACCGGGGCTTATGTGGTCCAATAATATGAATGACCTTAAAATTATTTATAGCAGGTATCAAAACAACAAGGAAGGCTATCACACTGATATAAGGATAGAGAGAGTTAGTGACAAACTATCAGTAAACCATTTGAAGTTCAGAAGTGCTTAGTTGAATGATATAAGCATTGGTAAGTGACAGAGAAAGACCTATACACTAGTTTCATTAGTCCTACTAGGGTTCAACATTTCCAGGATCTTTAACTAGGTTCAGAATACTTCAACAGGCATTTCAGTCATCTCCAGAACAATCAAAGTAAGCATATACATGACTGAGACCTTATTCTAGTAAACACCCATACTAACAGCCTTGTTCAGGCTTCCTAAAGATAATAACAAAAAGCAGAGACATCAAAGTAGGCAGGAGGGTCAATTTTAGCCTAGTTCAAACCTAATAGCATGATATCTAATCTATCAGGTTATCAAACAATTTCAGATTCATAATCAATATTCACACAGACAAGGATATAAACCTGATATGGCACAATGGATAAGGATGTCCATTTTTATAGGACTAACAAGTATTAATGAGTTTACATAAGCCTATGAGTGATCAGGTTACACCAGAAGACTTCTATTTCAAATTCTATGTTACTCAACATATTAAGTTATTAAGGCAGACAGGGTTCAACTTTCAAAGAAGTTTTCAAATGAAGAATATAGTAATTTAGGCATGAAACTTTCTCAAATGACAAGCAGGTAAAGGTTCATGAGAATCATTGGACAAGCATAAGTGTAATGACCACAAACATAGAGGTCAATAATAGTTATTTAACTAGCATACAGTGAGGTTCCAAGCGGTCACTGCTAGAGAGTTCACATAATACGTATGTCTTTAAACTATTTAGCTAAGATCATTAAGTCAAATATAAGTCATGAACTATGGTGAGAATTACATTCATTGAATCAAAAACAGTATGGTATAACTTCACTAATGCAAGGATTAGTACAACACAATGTAACAAACAGGATATTTGGAAAGGTCTAAAGCATAGTTCAACTAAGTCAACTAAACATGGGAATGCAATTGTTATCTAACTGATAGAGCGTACATAATATTAGCTTAAGGTCTAGTTCAACTCATTATCAAGAGGCTCAACATGATTTTTTCTTTAGTGTATCAATCATCAAGAAGGTTTTGTCATTTATCTAAATTATGGTATATGAAGTTCATTGACAGTACAAATTGGTTAGCAATATTAACACAATCATATCTTATCAGGAGATAATCAACTCAATCAGCAAGAATGGCATGTGGAGGCAGAACATAATACATACAGCCATAAGCTACTAATATGTATCACAAACGAAAGGTAATCAACAGATAAACATCATAAACACACAGTAACACAATTAATCAAAATAAAGAGAGGATCATTGTGCATTGACCTTCTACGGAGCAGAAAACCAAGTAGGAGTTCTTTGTTTATCTGTTTAGGAGTACAAACCCAAAACTAATCACGTATAGGGATCAAACTCGAGCAGGAATAAAAGAAGAAAAAAAGAGAAGTTAGGGAAAAACTACTGGAACTTGAAACTAGCCGAAAGACTTAAATTTTATCAATGTTTTTGCTAGTAATGTTAAGTATGTCCGTTTATGTTAGGTGAGGATATTGAATGATTTATAGTGGTATTCAAGTCTCTAGGGTTTCGCTTGAATTCAAACTATAGTTGATGATGACGATCGTGAGAAGGTGTAATCAGAAGGGAAAGATGGGGAAATCAGTGATGTCACGACCCAAAATCAACCGTCGTGATGGCACCTATCCTGGAACTAGGCCAGCCTCAACTCAACAACCCAACACAGTAAAATAACATTAAAAATAATGACGGATGCAGTTAACATTAAAAAAAACCCTTTTGAAAACATAATAAATCCCAAAGTGCGACACAATCCAGCCCAAAACCGAGGTGTAACTGAGTACATGAGCATCTAAAGCAGAATACAGTCCACTATAGTATCTAGAGAGATAACTAAAAATACAACTAATAATAAAGAAGGAGAGTCAAAGCATGTGAACGCCGTGCAGCTACCTTTGTGATCTCTGAACACTGAAGCCTCGATCAGCAACCGCCGCCGTGACCGAAATCGCCTAGATCTGCACACGAGGTGTAGGGAGTAACGTGAGTACACCAACTCAGTAAGCAACGAGTCCAAACTTTGGACTGAAAGGCAGTGACGAACTCAACCAGTAAAGATAAAATAGAAATAACTGTGCAGAAACGTAGGCATGCTTTCAAATTTAATAGGCAACTCAACACAGTAAAAGTAAAGCAGGTCTGAACAGTATAAAGGATATAACTCTGCTATTTCTACTTGCCAATGCACATGCTGTATGTGATGCACCATGCTGTCAGCTTCATGTGCTCACACTCTCAAATACTAAACCACTCGCTACTGTATATGAATCATACAGTCTAGGAAAGATCCATCCCGGAACATATAAGTCACCCAGTACCGAGGAAGGCCAGTCCAGCCCTGTGGAGAAGATCCATCTCCAGGTATCTAGTACTTAGGACAAGATCCATGTCCAGGGAAGATCCATCCCTCAATAATATTAACCGTGCTCACTGGAGGTGTGTACAAACTTCGGAGGGGTTCCTACAGCCTAAGCATTATCACAAATCAATATAACCGCTGCGGCGTGCAACCCGATCCCATAACTGCCACTCGTAACCAGGCTCTCAGCCTCACTTAGTCATCAATCTCTCCGATCTCACCCACAGGCTCACAATGTCATGAAAGCTAACCAAG